GTTAAAGACATTGTCTGATTGGATGTTGGAGTTCAAGACTTTGCCAAGAATATATGAAATTTGTCTGTATTTTATTAACCAGTCCTAGTGAAGAATGAAATCAGAAGAATATTAGATATTGGTCAAGAAACTTACTCAAAAAGAGATATTCTAAACTAGAATTTCTTTGTGGTAATGGCAGATTGGTGTACAATTCTGTGATGATGTCAAGAAATAAGACAACTTTGCATGACCTGTCTGAAAAAGTACTCCCTCCAAATACGGTCCACATGTTTTCTTTGCTTGTTTTCTACATTACCAGTAAGCTCACTTGTTTATTTGACAGGTTTTTAGGGTAAACATAACTAGAGATCTTTTTCCTCCTTCTCTCTAGAGAGCATAACTACATAAAAAAGGATTCTATGTGCATTGTATTGCCATCATTTTACTTGAAGAAGAAACAATTCATACTCCTATGCATTCTAACATTGTGAATGAGAACTTGAACTTATGAAGGCAGAGGGGGGATTTGAAATTCAGTGATCTCCTAGCCCAGGATCTGGTAGATCCCAGTTATATTCAGGAAAGAATTCAGAATTTAAGTTAGGTTAAAGCTATTCTTCTCTGCATCACTGGCAGTGAGATATAATAGAAAGTTGCAAGCACAGTACCTTCAAGCAAATGCCGGAGTGTTGAATCCAATATGAGGATATGTTTGCCCTGCAGACACGCTGTTCAAATGATGTATTCCTCTGCTTCAACTCATCACTGCCATGCACTCCTTCAAACTTTCTCCCAGGCTATATACATTCTTAAAATTATCCCTTCCCACCAATTTTTATTCCACACCCCGGAGATAACCTATAATTATAGATTAATGATCTAATGGATAGATTTCCTAAAAATAACCCTTTAACCCTGAATCTGCTGAGGTGCTACAGATTAGGTAAAATCTATAAGGCCCAAAGGTTCAATTATTATTAGCATGCAAAAAATTCTAGTCACAACTCTATTTTATTTTGTTGACTTTGACACTGAAGATGGAAATCAAAAATATTTTTTGAAAAGAAAAACACATACACACACATATAAACACACTTACAATAGAACTGGAAAAAGAAAACCAATTTTCACCTCAACATCATGCACTAAAAAAGAAATACCAAACGACCCAGGAAAGCAGTGAAATTCAGTCTAGTAGTGGCTGGCTTTGTCTTCTGCAGTATAGCAGCAAGGCATTCTTGTGATTTATAATTCAGTCTTAGAGACTGGTGAGGAACTATAAGATTTTAATTAATGGGTTCACATAAACTTGGATATTTTATTGAATACATCAAAGAACAAAGATTTGTACACACAACACAAAATAAAGTTTTAATAGTCTAATAGAATTATAAAATATATTTAGGAGGTAGTGTGATCCTTAACAAGAGAACTGTATATGTCCCAACACTTATAATTGTTTTCAAATAAAATTTGGATCAAAACTTAGCATCAGAGGCCTACATTTTGGAAAGTCATGAAAAAAATAAATTCAGAAATATATTGTTAGAAACTGCAAGTGGAGATTTATCTTTCTTATTTGTGCTGAAACTTGTTTTACTTAGTATCAGAGGAACAAATAACGAAAAAATCCTTTGGATTCTTTTAAGAGACATTTGACTCTAACTTATCTAAGAAAGCCTTTCCTTCATTGTGTGTCTCTACTCTTAACCAGAATTACACCAATTAGACAATTTCTACCAGATGTAAAATTAAATTCAACTTTTTTATTCTTTAACTATCTAAAGGTATATATGTTGCCTATCCCAATTGCTTCTAAATGATTAAGTAGGCTTCAAGAAGAAAACTTCAGGATTTCCTACTTTAGGACAAAATGCTGAATACTTTAGACCACACGCATGCTGTTTATTTGACCACAAACATTTATTTAAAACCTATTGTTTGCCAAACACTGTAAGAGTTCTCAACACATGAAGATTAAAATGACAGTTCCCCCTGAAATTATCCAGATGAGGGAGACAGAAACACAAGAAATAGTAATTATAATGTGCTAAAATCCATAACATAAGCATGGGAGAAATGACATTGCTTAGTCTGGTAGTTTTCTCCAACAGGAACGCAACTGGCATTTTGGGTGCGATGATTCTTCCTTGTGTTCTTTAGACAATGTTCCTTAGACATTGTGGAATTTAGTCTCCCAGTAGCATTCTTCAGTCATTATGACATTCATCTTAATAACTTAAAAAGGCCCCTCTCATATTTCCAAATGCCTCCTGAGAGAGTGGGACCAACCTCTCTGAGAACCACTGTTACTAGTCAGTGTCTACTGATGCTGTCAAACTTCTCAGTATCAGTTCTATGAAAGGAAAGGATCTAGGAATCCACTTCGACCTATCTAGATTTTTATGTAATCATGTAAGGCTATACTGTTTATGGACATCTCACTTAAAAGGCAGGGTATTGTTAAGATATCTGTGATTCACTTTAAAATATTTCAGCATAGGCAGCATAAAATTATGTACATATTAATTATTTACATTTAAATTAAATTCTAGGCACAGTTATCTCCATTAATCAGGAATTCACACAATAAATATTGCCAGTTATCCTTCTTATCAGAAAGTCTTTTATACTGAAGTAGCCCAAGAAGAGCTTCAGTCACTTTGAGCTCCTTTCAACATGAGAGACTTTGCTGAATAACATAGTGGCCTACAGAAATGGGTTGTTAGTAGTGCAACTAGTGGGAGTCAACATAGTAGAGTGGCTGAAATGTTTTAGAGATACTTTTCAACCTTACAAAACAGGGATGATCTCTATAGCAAACTCACCTATGCTAACCAGGTCATGCCTCATGCTGACCCTGGCGAATTTTGAAGAGGGCAAAGATTTAGATATTCTACCACAACTTACCAACTATGTTATAATGAAAGCATGTCTCAAAGCAAATTCCATCACATATTCAAACATTTATTAAACACTCATCAGCAAGCAGGCACAAACAATTTATAGTACCTATTCTGTCAGGTATATTACTTTCCAGTTCTCTATCCTTTTATGTTCTCTGATCAAATCTTTGTATGAAAGGTTCCCCAGAGTCAGATATGACAACATTCCAGAAGCAGAATTCTTCTGGTATAAACACGCTTTATAGGAGGCATCAGGGGGCCAAAAATTCTCCTAACCCAACAGGCACACAGGCACATTTAAGAATCAAGCTTCAGGTACTAGACTAGAATTCTTACAACCTGGTCATACTTGGATGCGGAGTAACCAATGCGGCATGTCTTGAATTCCTCTAACTATCTATTCCAATTTACTATGCTTGTTGACAGTCCAACCTTCAACATGATTGGTAACAGGCCACTATTTCCAACAATGAAAATCAATTTCTGACATTCACTCTTAATTTAAAAAAAACAAAATGTTAATAGAGATAACAGAGGCTCCTAAAATTCCCTCTTACGAAACATAATTCTAGCCGATCACTCATGGAATATGGGTTAGGAAAACTAACTAGAGATGAAATGGAAACTATATAGTATATACATAATATCACATTTGCCTTTGTTGAATTATTTTAAACTAACTTATTGAGATCATAGAAATACTGTAGCACTAATTGTTAATAGTCCTGTGCCCAGCTATACAGTTGGACAATTTAGTTGTGAATATGAACTTAAAAGAATGCTTATTTTAGAATATCTTTATGTATGTCTACAATGAAACTGTCTTGCAAATTTTAATTCAACACCTTAAACAACAGAAAGCTGAAAATTTACTAAAATTACTAAATAGCTTGTACTACTTTTGTGTCTGTTCGCTAATAAACATTTATATGTGTGGCAGAACGTGGTCTAAGTCTTGATGATAACTTGAAAGTAAGGTTGCAGAGAAATAACCATCTCTCATCTACCTCTAATTATTGGCATCAACTGTTCTCTAACTAAAAGAATCTAGAGATGCGTAACAAACTCCTTTAATATTAATCTTCCTGTTTCTTGATGTAGGCCTTCTCTTGATTTCCACATCAAATCCGCCCCCCCCCCCAGTTTTCTTGGTCTCCCCCTCCCTTCTCCCATACAGTTATTTTGCTTCTTTGAAGACATCATTCCATCAGTGGTCCTTTCTCTTTCTCACTCCTTTATCAACCCCTCTCCTCTGATTCCTTCTCCAGATCCTATAAACAAAAGCTAATCTCATGGTTGAATAAACTCTCTCTAAATTCTGTCCCTACTAAAAAATATACATCGTTTCTTTTATTCACTTTCAAACTTTGAAAGAGAAGTCTCCACCAATTGATCCCCATTCTTTGACTCCCCTCAACCCTTCCAATGTGTCTTAAATAAGCAATTCTACTGAAATTGCTCACGAAGTTCTCCTAATTATTAGATTTGATGTCCTCCTCTGTGTCTTTATCCAAAAATCTCTCTTCACCTTCTCACACTGTTTACCACCACCCTCTTATAATGTTCATCTTTTCCTGTCTTCCCTTACACAATCTTTCTAATCTCTTCTATAACTCAGGCTAGTGTTTTACAGTTTTATTCCCCAATTGCTCTTCCTTTTTCCATCTCTTAAACCTTAGCATTCCCAGGTTCTTTTAGTCTCATCACAGTTCTCTATACTTTATCTTCTCTTTTCTTACCAACAACACATCAGTTAACATGGTTTTAACTATCAACATTCTGATGACTTTTAAAGTCATATCTCCTCCTGTAGCCTCTTTTGAATTCCCTACCTGTATTGTCTCCACTATCAAGCGTTTAAAACTCAAATATTGTCATGCGCCACATAACATTTCAGTCAACAACAGACCTCATATACGAGGGTGGTCCCATAAAATCAGTACCATATAGCCTAGGTGTGTAGTAGGCTTAACCATCTAGTTTTGTGTAAGTACACTCTCTGATGTTCACACGACAATGAAATCTCCTGACAATGCATTTCTCAGAACATATCACCATCATTAAGCAACGCATGACTGAAACCAAACAGAACATACTATTTCATAACTATACCTGTTTTAAATGTCAAGCCTGTCCAGCAGGTGCCAGGAAGCCAATCTCCAATCCATAGGGGAAGTCAAAATATCACTGTAAATATAACAAGATGGATAAAATTGTGTTTCCAGAATTCTATATGATTGGGCATGATAATTGCATAAGACATTTAAGAGTTGAGGCGAAATTACTCTTAAAGCTGCATTTTCAGTAAATTGTACTTTTAAAAAAATCTCCATTTTAATGGATAATTCCTTTATGTAGATACTCATCATTTAAACACCTTCCTTTAATACCTCGTCATTTACTACCTTCCTTAGTTCCTCCTTCATATCCTCCCTCTTTGTCCACTTGCCATATTTTCAAAAATGTTATCTTATTAAAGAGAAACATCATGGAATTCTTCCACTTAAAATCTTCCAATGATTAAAAATTATCTAAAGAATCAAGTTGAAATTTCTTAGCTGTGCTCTGTACCTCCTAACTCTTTGTGTGCAAGTAACACCCTGATGTCATGTCCAAGCTTAAGAAGTCATTCCTCCACAGCTTCATATTTTCCTCCATATTAGGAAATAATCTCTTCCTCTTCTAAACTCCCTAGAATTTATTTTTACCTTTCTCATCATACTTTTCACTTTCAATCTTGAATTATAACTACTTATGTGCATTTCCTGTGTACATAAGTCAAAATGGTGAGCACCTTCAAGGACTGTGTTTTAATTCTCTTTACGTCCTCAATAATTTGTTGAATAATGAATCAATGTTTAATTCTGCATTTGGGATATATGTGTGTAGGTTTAGAAACATTACTCTAAGAGCAGATTGATAGATACACATGATAAGTAAAAAATTGTAGACACAGAGACCGGTTGGGAGGCTACTAAAACACGTCTGGCAAAAGGTCATGAACAAATATATAAAAAAGTATGAATCACATCTCATCATCCACATTTTACTGTTCAGCTCCTTAAAAAGAAATATCCTTATCATAAATTGTCTCATAAATTTAAAGAACTGATATCATTATGCTTGGAAAGTTGATTCTAGTAAATTACACAGGTCGTGGTTGTCATTCTAAGATAGGTTTAAGTTCTGTGAAATACCATATTTTCTAATGTCTTAGCAACCAAATGAGGACTGTAGTGGGAAATCATCATCCCTGTCTCAAACTCTATAACTCTGTGAAGCCTGGCTCATCTTTTTTCATTGCACAGCAGGTAAGAAAACTGGAAGGCTGGGTTGATGACTGTTATATCACAACCATTAAGAGACAATAAGGCAAACTGTTCATCAAAGGAATGACAACAACAAAAAGGAAATGACTGTGTTTCAAAATGTCCAAAACTGATAGCCCAAGTAGCACAGTCATTTTCCAGTAGTCGCCTCTTGAAATTTTACTTTATAATAAGTAGAAAGGCCATGCCGATGGCCATTAGATTGGCAAGAAACCATCCTGTAAGTTTCATGAGTGTGATGTTTCTGTTTATATATATTATATATTCACATTTTTCATATGAACAGTATTTGCACTAAATATTTCTGTTATAATACTGAAGGCAGCTGGCTCTATTGGACTAGATATACCATATTTAAAATGTTAGACACAAGTACAGATGCAAATGAAAGCTGCCTGAGTTCCCCAATAAAACAGCAAACTAGAATCATAAATTTGCATGGAAATACCTCCTACCATACCAGTATAATGTATTACTGGTCCATAGCCAAATTTAAAATTCTCAAGTATCCATTTTCAAATTATGCTATATTATACAGTGGTTAGTTCTAGCATACATGTCAATTACTTATACCCACTCTATTTTTCTACTATTTCACTAGAATCAGGAAAAGTGCAGAACTATGACCAGAACAAAGTGGTTTCTCTCTTTCTCTAATTCCTTCTGCAAAAAATCTCATATCTTCTGTTTCAAAGGCAGTGCCAGACTTGTATTAAATGCTGAATTAGTACTATACCATTGTCATATATCCCATTTTAGGATATTTCTTTTCCCTCTTTCCATGATCTGAATGCTCAACCACCACCCATCAAAAGGTATTCTGCTCTTTGAACCATTTCCTCACTTTTCCTATCAAAACGTAGCTGCTTATGTTTTGCTTCCTTACATTAGGCTGGGAATCTCTAATAGGCGTAGAAACTGAACAACAGCCTCTCAAAGGTATCATGTTCTAATCTCTAGAACCTGTAAATCTTATTTTTTATAAAGAAGTGCTTTTTCAGGGGTGATTAAGTGAAAGATCTTGACATGGGGAGATTATCGTAGATTACCTGGGTGGGCTTTAAAGACCATGGCAAGAATCCTTATAAGAGAGAAGCAGCGGGAGATTCAACACCACTCACAAATGGGGGCTGAGTTTAGAATGATTCCATCACAAACACAAGAATGTCAGCAGCCACCAGAAGGTGGAAGAGGCAAGGAATGGATTGTGTTTTAGAGCCTCCTAAGGAAGCGCAGCCTGCCGCCATCTTGATTTCAGATTTCTGGCCTCCAGAACTCTGAGAGAATACATTTCTGCTGTTTTACACCACCAGGTTGTGGTAATTTGTTACAGCAGCTGCAGAAAACTAATACAATAATCTAATGAATAAATCCCTGCTAAACATGACAAATCATGGCTAAATATCTTACCCCTGAAAGAAATGTATAAAAATGACAGAAATTCCTAGAAAAAAAATCTTTAACTTAATGGAATAAATTTCATATTCTTGGGAGTTTGGCTGTGTTACTCCAAAGTGTGGGAGTGTTTCTGAGTAGGAAGACCTTTTCAATTTGAAGCAAATAGGTATCACTTAAACTTCTTTATAGAATTAGGCCTGGCAACAGTCTTAATCATGTAATGGATAACTACATATCTTAGAATTATCTTCACCCCTTCAAACAGTGTATTTTTTTCCCAGTTATTTCTTCTACCAAACTTAAAACAGCTAGAAAACTAAGTTAAAAGGTGACAATCAGAGAAAAGATCCTAAAGGGTTTAAGGCATTAGATCACCTCCAGCAGCATTTAAACATTAACCCACTAGCTAAATCCTACCAGGTATTAACTCAGAGTAGAGGATGATTTCTCCAGTTAGAAGGGCAATTTATCTTGCCAAATGAAATCAAATTTATTAGAACTATCTGAATGTCACAAGAGTCAAGGTTTATAAAAAATGAGTTCTAAGAAGGAGGAAGTGAGGAGATAGAAAATATACTTTGAGTGTATTTTCTTCCAGAAAGCATATTTTCTTTGAAGAAAGAGTAAGATACTTTCCTTATGCAAATTTTTAAATAGAGAAACTTCTCTTTAACCCCGCTTTCCCTACTATTGTTCATTCTTCTAACTATAACTTCTATGCCTTGAATATTTAGCCTTTTATTCATAATTTCGTGGACTTGTGTGCTCTCTGAGCAACATTATTTCTTTTACCTATCCCATTTTCAAAAAGACAATAGAGCAGAAGGGCAACATTCATTTTAAATTTGCTATTACAAGATTAATAATTTAGCAAGGAAAGAAAATTAGAAATGTTATAAGTCATCATTTTGGTTGCCATTTTATTAACACTTTTTGAAGGACATTGTTCACTCAGAACAGTGCACAAAAATAGGAATATAGCTCAATTTATGATCACAAAGCACAGAAACCTGTGTAGCTACCACCTAAGTCAATCAATGAAACTGCATCAGTACTTCAGAAGCTCTCTTCTGCATCCTCCCCATTTCCTTCCTTCTCTGTAAAAGCAATCACTCCTGACTTCTAACCCCATAGGCTGGTTTTGCCTATTTTGCACTGTATATAAATGAGACCAAGATGGCATGTACGACTTTATGTCTGGCTCCTTTGGCTCAACTTTGTGTCAGTTACATTAATTTATACTGTTGTAGCAGATATAGTTGGTTCAATTTTGGTGTTATTTAGTATTCCACTGAATGAATTTACCACAATTTATATATCCATTCTTCTGTTATTGATGGAGATTTAACCTAGGTTGCTTCCCACTGGTGGTGGTGTATTTTGTGGTATTATGTCACGAATTTTCTCGTGCATGTCTTTTGGTATATTGCCTGAAATTCTGTCAGGTGTATACCTTGATAACTTGGTATGGAATTACTGGGTCATAGGGTATGCGTATCAGTTTTAGTAGACAATATCAACTACTATGCCAGAGGGGTTCTTAACAGTGTATTCTCCCACCAGGGCATGTTTACATAACTCTCAGTCCATTTTTGTTTTTTAAATTATATCTATCATGAAAAGTGTTATTCCCTTATATTGTTAATTTTCATTCTAATGAAAGAAGTTGAGAAATTTCTCACATATTTATTAGTCATTTGGATATCTCTGTGATGGTCCTGTTCAAATTGCAAAATAATAATTCTCTTGGATTATCTATGTTTTCTTGTTGTAGGAATTCTTTATACGTGCTTGGTATAAACTCTCTCTTGGTGATATGTATTGCAAATAACCAATCCTTGGCTAGCTATTCACTCTCTTAGTAGTGTCTTTTGATAAACAGAGTTCTTATATTTAATGTGGCATAATTTACCAAATTTTTCCTTTATATTTAGTGTTTTTGTGTCATGTTTGAGAAAACTTTGCTTACCCAAAGATCATGAAGACATTCTCTTATATTATTTTCTAGAAACATTCCGGTTTTTACCTTTTAGAACTACATTTTATAACTGCAACCTGCATGGCATTTATTTAGGGAATGGTATAGGGAAGACATTGTTCCTATTTATTATGTGCTATATGGGTATCCAATTGTCATAATGCATTTGATCGAGCAGATTAAGTTTCACCCATTGTTCTGCAATGCTGTCTTGTCAAAAATCAAGCATTAGTTATATTCTGGACTCTCAATTGTGTTCCATTCTTATATTTGATTATTCTGTGTCAATACTACTCTGTGTGAATATTGTAGCTTTATAATAAATCATCATATCTGGTGGTATATGTCCATAATTTTATTTTTCTTCTTAAAGAGTGCTTTTATATTCTTGGTCCTTTGTATTTCCTTCAATTCAGTCAGTTTGCCAGTTTACATATGGGTCCACATTGCTGCAAATTTGATTGGATTGAGTTTAATCTGTA